TCTCTCTGTGCGCGCTCTGCGCCTGGACCCTGGACGGTGGAGGTTGACTGTGCAGAGCTCCAGAGAACACCGCTGGATTGTGATACACCTTCCCCAGACCCCCGCCACCTATCTATTCCTTCATTTGTAAGTCATCCACTAAATAAATCTTCCTTTTAACTACGTGGAGTGGCCTTTATAATTTTCCCCAATAGCTTGGTTTTTCTGTGTTTTGAGAGTGCTGGGAATTGAGCGTAGAGCTCACACATGCTAGGCAAACACTCTAACCACTGAGCTACAGTTCAGCCCAAAATGTTTTTGTTTTTTGTTTTTTTTTTAATAACAAAAAGCAAGCAAAGCGCTGAGCGAAGCCCTGCTTCCTAGTCCCTGCTGAGTAGATGTTAGCTATGGCGAGGTCCAAAAATGACTGACGGGCAGAAAAACTGGTTCCACCCTTAAGTTTGGAGACACCACACAGTGGCCCACTTGATTCAAATGTGGCCGCGCCTCATTTTGTTACGCAGATTTGGTTTGTTTGTTTTTAGAGATTTATTTTTAATTATTTGTATGTATGTATGTGTGGGTAGGTATGCGTTCAGGTACCTACAGAGGCCAGAAAAGAGTACCAATCTAAGTCAGCTGTGTTGGCGCACACCTTTAATCCCAGCACTCAGGAGGCAGAGGCAGGCAGATCTCTGTGAGTTCGAGACCAGCCTGGTCTATAGAGTGAGTTCCAAGACAGTCAAGGCTATACAGAGAAACCCTGTCTAGAGGGAAAAAAAGAAAATGTTGTTCCTCGGAGCTAGAATTATAGGTGATTTTGAATTGCATGATGTGAATGGTGTGTGTTGAACTCCAGTCCTCTTAACCACTGATCCATCCTCTCCAGCCTTGTTTTGGGGGATTTGTTTTGATTTGCTGTTGGATTTTTGTTGTTGTTGTTGTTGTTTGTTGATTGGTTGGGTGGTGTTGTTGTTTGGAATTTTGGGTTTGGGATTTGTTTTGTTTTATTTTGAGATGGATCTCACTATGTAACCCTGGCTGCCCTAGAATCCCCTATGAAGAACATGCTGGCCTTGAACTCACAGAGGTCTGCCTGCTTCTGCCTCCTGTGTGGTAAGATTGAAGGTGTTTCACCCAGGCCTGCCTCATTTGCTTTTTTCATAATTCTTTGTTTTTGTTTTAAGACAGGGTTTCTCTGTGTAGCCCTGGCTGTCCTGGAGCTCGCTCCGTAGAACCAGGCTGGCCTCAAAAGCAGAGATTTGCCTGCCTCTGCCTCCCAGGTGCTGGGGTTAAAGGCGTGTGCCCACACTGCCTAGTGAAATAACACTTTTTTGAGATTATAATGCAATTATGACATTTATCCTTTCCCTTTCCTCTGTCCAAACCCTCCCACATAGCAATCCCACTCTCCTTCAAATCCATGGCCTCTCTTTTCACTAACTGTTACTGTGTGCATGTGTGTATGTACCAGGCTTTTTCTTTTAGGGCCACCAATCAGCTCCCAAATCATGACACAGAGACTTACTATTGGTTTGGAATGCTCAGCCTAGCTTAGCTCGTTTCTGGCTAGCTCTTTTAATTTAAATTAACCTGTTTCTCTTTATCTACCTTTTGCCTCGGGCTTATTACCTTTTTAGTTCTGTGTATCTTCCTTTCACTGCTTCTCTGTGTCTAGGTGTCTGCCTGGCTTCTGGCCCCGCCATGTCCCTCCTTCTCTCCTCCTCCTATGATTCTTCTCTTCTTCCTCTCTTTCCCTGAGCCTAGATTTCTCCTCCAATTTATTCTCTCTCCCTGCCACCACCCACCCCCATCAGTTCCCTGCCCAGCTATTGGCTGTCCCGCTCTTTATTAGACCAATCAGGTGCCTTAGGCAGGCAAGGTGAACCAAACGCAACACATCTTTTCACAATTAAACAAATGAAGCATAAACAAAAGTAACACACCTTTACACAGCTAAAGGAAAATTCTGCGACATAAACAAATGTAACACATCTTCGCCTAGTTAAAATACCAGTCTATGATATATGTATACACATATGTAATCCTAGATATAACCTGTGCGGTCTGTACGTTGTTATTTGTATGTCTGTTTTCAGGGCTGACCATTGTGCACTGGACAACCGGTTGTTGTGATCTTCCCTGGGGAAGATCACCTCTCCTATTCCCAGCTTTCCTCGGTTGCCTCAAGTTCTTGATGTAGGATTAAGGCCTTGTGGGTCTTCCCCGGCCAGATTGGCATGTCCATTGGTGCCATTCTTATTCAGTTCACATCTGGGGCAGTCATGTTGGTGAGACTTTCTGAGTGTAGCTTCTGGCATTACTAGGAAAGGCAATTTCACAACGAAGTCCCCCGTCCTTCTCTTACAAATCTTTCTGTCCTACAAAATGTGTCTGTGTTCTGTAGATGGATTCACTGGGACTGGGCTCCACAACTCTGAGCTCTGATTGGCTGTGGTTTTCTGTAGTGGTCTCTAACTGTTGCAAAGAGATGTTTCCTTAATAAGGAGTGAGGACTGCACTTATCCATGGGAATCAGGACAAATGTTTGTAGGTTGTCGTTAGGGATTATGTTGGTTTAGTGAATTAGAGGTTGTAAATTCTCCCCTGATAAGCGTGACTTTACTAGGACTGAGTAGTCAGCTAGGTTGCTAGCCCAGGAATAACTTCCCTCCTGTCAAAGAGGTCTTATGTCCGATTTGAGAACAGTTGGTTACTGACAAGGCACATGTACCACCCTGCACCCGTAAGGCTGTGGTGCCGTGACGTCAGCAGTCTGGTTCAGGAGCATCGTGGCTGGGTAGGATTGTTGTTGGACTCCCTCCTTGGGAAGTTTCATTGTGTCGTCGTCGTGATTTTTTAAAGAAATAATAATTTTTATTTATTCTTTGAAAACTGTATAAATGGGAAATTGTATAAAAGTGTGTAAATAGGATCACTGACTGCTCTTGCAGAGGACCTGAGTCCAGTTCCCAGCACCCACGTCAGGCAGCTCACAACCGCCTGTCACTCCGGGTCCAAGGGATCCAGTGCCCTCAACAAGGACAATATGCACAATAATGCAAACAGACATACCCACAAATAAATAAAAAATAATTTGTTTGTTTGTTTGTTTTCTCGAGACAGGGTTTCTTTGTATAGCTTTGGAGCCTGTCCTGGAACTTGCTCTGTAGACCAGGCTGGCCCTGAACTCACAGAGATCCACCTGCCTCTGCCTCCTGAGTGCTGGGATTAAAGGCATGCACCACCACAGCCCAGCAATAAAAAATAACTTAAAAAAAAAAGAAAAGAAAATTGTATAAATGTATGTGCAGTGTATTTTGAATGATTTTCTTCAGAAATTTTAAAGTCAAACTGGAAAACATTTGGGTTGGAGAACTAAAAAATAAATACTCAGCTTCTTTTAGCCCACTGTCTTCCATTTGTCCTAATTAGGAAATGTAAAGTTGGGGCCAGTGAGATGGCTCCGCAGACAAAGGCGCTTGTTGTAGAGTCTGACTCCATGAGTTCAATTCCCAGAACCCCACATGGTAGGAGAGAACTCACACATACACACACTAAATAAATGTAATTTTTTAAAATGTTTCTAAAACTGTGAAGCTGGCCAGGGTTGTGGCTTAGCAGTAGAGCAGACACTAGAGAAGGAAGGCGGAGACAGGAGAGGAGGGAAGAAGGGAAATGCAGAGCTGTATTTTTCTAGAGTTTTTAAGGGAGCTAGACACAGTGGTTCAAGCTTGTAAACATTCAGGATGCGGAGAGAGAAGGATCACATGATCCGGGACAGCTTACATAAATAGATAAATAATAAACGCTGAGGCTGCTGTCCTTTTTTTGTTTTATTATTGAGAAGTCACTTCTTGCCTCAGTGTTCTGCCGCTCCTTTCTGTGAAGCCAGTACAAAGCCCAGGCAGGAAGATGAATTAGGACCTTGGCATCTCAATAAATCTGTACCTAAGGAAGCTACTAAAAGCCAAGAATGTCACCGCCCTGCAGTTAAAGGTTGATGTCAGCCCTGAGGCCTTCTTTTTTGCTAAAGTGTCTATGATTCTTAGACACACACACACACACACACACACACACACACACACTCACTCACTCACACTCACACCATACTTTGAAAAAAACCCAAGATCTGGTGACTATTACCAAATACACCTTGCATAGCCCTTCTTCCTGTGAGCTTCCCAAAAGGCGTGTTCCCCAGAGCAGCTGTAAAATGAAACAGGCTGGGCTGATGGCCCAGTGGGTAAAATGCTTTCTGTGTACACGAGGACCCGAGTTTGGAATCCCAGCACCCACATAAAAGCTAGACCAAGTGACACTAGTCTGTAAGTACAGCATTGGGGGTGTGGGGACAGCCAGATGCCCCAGAGTTCACCAGCCAGCCAGCCGGCGCAGCCTATAGGTGGGCTCCAGGTTCAGTGAGAGACCCTGCCTCAAAAACCAGGCGGAGAACAAACAATAGAGGAAGACACCCAATTCCAACTCTGCCCTACAAACACACGCTTCCACATGTGTGTGCATGCGCCCACACACATGCACACAAGCAGGAATACACACACACAAATAACAACAACGAAAACCACAAGTGGCTGTGTGTTTATTGTCCCCTTTAAAACAACTGCATGCGCAGTAGAGTCTATTACTCACTGAAGCTTGTCCTTCTCGGTCGCTGTTCATTTGACTTTTGATTATCTCAGTGTGGATTACCCAATTTAGAGCTTATATCCACTGCAAATTCCTAATTCCCCAGAGTCCTTTTCCTGCCGATCAGTACAGATTTAGGCTACCTCCCCTTACCGCAAATTAATGTATGGTTAGTCATTTTAAGCAATATTAGCATTAGATATAATTAGGAAGAAAATTAGCTTTTTCCCCTAATCATACAGAAATTGTTGTATTTTGTGCTACGTTTAAACAATTACCCTTCTGTACTCCATCATTAATGTGAATAATCTAAAGTAGCTTAAATGGAAATTCTATCAGGTTTAAACAAAGCATTTTACTGTCGTCCCTTTTAGGAGTGGAAAACATCTTAAGAGGGGCTCAAGAGCTGGATAACATCATCAAGCAAGGATACCTGGAGAAGAAAAGCAAAGGTATTAATCAGACCCATGAAGAGTGGGCCGTTCCGGGAGAGGGAGGGGGAGAGGGAAGGAGGGAAGGGGATGTTGCTAGACTATAGGGTGGATGTCTTCTTGGGGCTGTGCTAGGCCCATGTAAGGCATAAAGTCAGGAAATGAAGGAAGTGTGGTGTTAGTGTGTGCCAACTAAAGAGAGAGGGTCCAAATCTTCAGCCAGCTGTGGGCTTCATTGGGATTGGTTCTAGCCCAGTTGTGGCAACTTTAATCCTAGCACTTAGGAGGCAGAGACGGGCAGATCTTTGTGAGTTGGACGGATAGATGGATGGATGGATGGATGGATGGATGGATGGATGATATTCTTGTCCTCAACTCTGTGTGCTCCCATCAAGAGTGACACTGTAGCCAGGGAATGTAGGTGGCACACACCTTTAATCCCATTACTTGGGAGGCAGAGGCAGGTGGATCTCTGGGTTCAAGGCCAGCCTGGTCTACAGAGTAAGCTCTAGGACAGCCAGGGCTACATAGAGAAATCCTGTCTCAAAAAAAAAAAAGAAGAAGAAGAAGAAGAAAATAGTGACACTATTTTGTCAAGAATGTAGTCTTTCCAAGTGTGAAGCAGCCTGCTTCCAAATTTCAGACATGCCCAACTCTTGACCCTTTAAATCATCCCATTAAAATAGGTACTACAAGGGCCAGAGTCCTGGTTCTAACGCTCAACAGACAAACTGGTTTACCACACGTTCTCAAAACGAAGGCGAAAAAGCAAGCCCTCCTCCTGGCCATGGCCTGGAGGACCCGGAGTATCGCTTTGGTTCACAGAAAGCAACACATAAAGAAATGATGGTAATTGGGTATAATGATGCATGCCTCTAATTCCAGCACTAGAGAGGCTGAGACAGGAGGATAGCCAGGAGTTTCAGGCCAACCTGGATTACCCAGTGAGGCTCTGTCTCCAAAAAACAAACAAAGATATCATAGAAAGTCTGAAAAACTCAGGATGAGATTTGATCCTAAAGGATGGAAAATAAGCTAGATAAAAAGACAGCCGTGGGAGCACGGAGGAGCAACTTCACTAAGAACCGGGGCCTGTGATGGAGTTCCTCCTCGCCACTCAGTCAATACGAGCTAACCTGTGGGAGTGAAAAGGGGGGTTTTACAGTCCATTAACCTGGGAGATAAAACAATAACCCACTCGACTGTGTTGTTGGATTTTACAGACTCGTAGGCTCTTCTAGTTACCTGGATTTATGTCTCTTCTCTCTCTTCCACGTAGATCATAGCTTCTTTGGGTCAGAATGGCAGAAGCGATGGTGTGTGGTCAGCAGAGGCCTCTTCCTCTACTACGCTAACGAGAAAAGTAAGTGTTCTCCGTTTACAGAGCGGCACCCTCGCTCCTGGACGCAAGTGCTTCGTAAATTCTCAAGCACTTAGATGCCTAGATAGCAGTCCTTAACTAACACCCATAGAGTGAGATGCTTAAGAAAGAAATAGACTTGGGTAGCTCGTGCCTTGCCCACTGCCAAAAACACAGACCAATTTAGCGCTTTTTCCCCTCTTTGAACAAAGTGTGGTCAAGGTATGGAAGGGTTATAGTCTGTTGTGACTTATTACACAGTATTATCAGAATTGAATGGTTAAGCAGTCTTTAAATAAGTAAATAGGCTGGGGGAATGGCTCCATGGGTAAAATGCTTGCGGCATAAGCCTGAGGACTTGAGTTCAAATCCCCAGAGCCCCTCTAAAGCTAAAGGTGATACTATAGGTCTGTAACCCTGGTGCTCTTACAGTGAGATGGGAGGCAGGGTTATAATGAGGTGAAAGTCGGAAATTACAGGGGGCTGTGGAGCAAAGTCAGGAGAATCCCCCAGGACTCTTAGACCCGCTAGCCTGATGTACACAGCAGCAAACAAGAAGCCCTGTCTCCAGCAGGTGCAAGAGAAGAATCAGCACCAAAGGCTGTGCTCTAACCTGTGTGGGCACCATGGCGTGCACTCACCGACAGGACCACGCACATACATACACGTGCAAGTGAGAACACACATACACACAAAGATGTTCAAACAAAAGACAACAGCAAGAAAAACACGCAAACAAACACTCCTGCAATCCCAACACCTAGAAAGCTGAGGCAAGAGGATCACATGTTCAAGACTAGCCTGAGCTATGTAGCAAGACTCTGTGTCCCAAGCCAAGAACTGGAGCTATAACTCAGTGGCAGAGCACTTGCCTGGTGTACACAAGGTCCTGAATTCAATTCCTCACACCACACATGAAATAATTAGCAATAATGTACTAATAATAATTCTGAGAAAGATTTAAGCAGTGTTTAACAATAGCCCAGAAATAGCATCTTGGGGTTCAAACTCTCTAAGAGCATAGTCATAGCTATTGGGAAACAGTGGTCCAGTGGACATCCCTGGAGCCAGGGTGTTGAAGCCTAGGTCGTTGTCGTTCCCAAGAGCTGCTCTTCAGCCAGACGTCCGCAGTGACAGTGGGGTGTTGATTCAGAGGCAGTTTCTCGATGAGCCACCACACGCTATCCCTAGAAGGCCACTCATCCACGTTGAACACAGTGGCTTAGTCCCTGAGAAGGAAGAGAGGGTTTAAGTGTAATTGGTGGGAACTACAAATAAATACAAGTTAAAAGTTATTGTAGGCCAGGCAGGGGTGGCGAACGCCTGGAATCCCAGCACTTGGGAAGCAGAGGCAGGTGAGTTGAGACCAGCCTGATCTACAGAGCGAATTCCAGAGCTGTTACACAGAGAAACCCTGTCTTGAAAAACAAAACAAAACAAAACAAAAAAATGAAAGCCGACTCCCAGGGAGGAAATACAGTTTCGCAGATTGGAATCGAGAGGGAGAAGAGCTGGATAAAGTCCTCAAGGGACTTCCTCAGGCTCGCCCACCTTCATGCAGAGAGCAGTGGTAGCTTCACAAAGAAGGCCTTAGATTTGCCTCCAATCACGTGCTGTTTGCTCTTCTTTCCTTCTAAACTACGTTCTCCTGATGTCTAGACATCCAGCCGGAGAACGGTCTCCCGGCATCTTGGGTACAACCATGGCAGACTGAACTACAGTTTTGCTAGTGACCTGGAATCCTCAGGATTTGCGGGCTTTCTGGCATTTGCCTCAGTCCATCCCTCCTCGTGCAGCAGCATCGCTGATTTCCCCTTTGGACCATCGGGGATGCCTCAGAATCTTTCCCATTCAGGGGTACTTGCTGCTGGCAGCAGCATGCTGGAACACTGAGCCACAGAAGCTCTGTGGCCTTCCAACCCCCAGCTCACTTGCAAGTCCAACAAGGTTGGCTTCTCCCCTGAATTCTAGGCCTCAGGCTTGGAGATACAGCTCAGTTGGTAGATGCTTGCCTAGTGTGCATGAAGCCCTGGGTTCGATCCTCAGCACTCCATAAAACCAGTGTGATGGTGCATACCTGTGATCTCATCACTCAGAAGGTGGAATCTGGAGGGTCAGGAGTTCAAGACCATCCTCAGCTATGTAGGGAGTTAATCAGCCTGGGCTTATGAGACCTGTCTCAAAAACTTGGCTAATTAATTAATTAGTTAATTTTAGACCTACAAGGCAGACAGTCACTCTATTCTTCAAACTAGTATGATATCTGTTTTTGTTTTGGATTGTTTTGGTTTTTGTTTGTTCGTTTGTTTGTTTGTTTTTCAAGACAGGGTTTCTCTGTGTAGCTTTGGCACCTTTCCTGGAACTCACTCTGTGGACCAGGCTGGCCTGGAATTCACAGAGATCCGCCTGGCTCTGCCTCCCAAGTGCTGGGATTAAAGGCGTGCGCCACCAACGCCCGGCTAGTATGATATCTGGAAACTGTTCATCATTTCCCATGCATTTAAATAAGTTAAATGAAAGAAGGGCCTGAAGAAAGGGCCCCATGGTTAAGAGCATTGATTGCCCTCGCAAAGGACACAAGTTCAGTTCCCAGCACCCGTCTGTCGCCCACAGCCATCTGTAACTCTAGTTCCAAGAAATCTGATAACCTTTTCTGGCCTCTGAAGACACCAGATATGCACATGGCACACATATATGCATGCAAGCAAAACACCCCTACACGCAGAATTAAAATGCACATCTTTAAAAAATGGTGATAAGTGTTGGCATGCCTGAGTATAACACCAAGTCTGTTCATTCAGAACTCAAGTCTTATGGTGAGAGGGGAGGGGGGGAAGGAGAGAGCACGAGGCTTGGAGACTTTTATGGACCATTTTGCCGTCAGGGTGAAATAAAACCTGGCGACCAAAGAAACAACAAAACATTTTAGTGGCCGGTTAGAACAAGGAGGGATACTTTAACAAAAAAGATCTGGTGTCAGAGACCACTGTTGCATGGCTCCCCTCTCGCCAGTTACTCCTTATTATGCCCAGGACACTCTCTCCGTGGTATAGTGTTTGTGTGTTTCCTTTAGCTCAATCAGGTAAAAATAGAACCTCTCCCTCTCCCTCCCCCTCCTTCCCTCTCTCTGTCTCTCTCGCTCCCCCTCCCTCCCCATTTGCCCTTCACTTACCACCATTATCATCCAAAGACGTCCCAGACCACAGGTCGAGTCTTCAGCACCGGATGCGGTGAGGGACAGATTCATTTCCAGTTCGCTCCACTTGACAGAGGACACCGTCATCACCCAGACACTGTGGTTACCGTCCCCTCTACACAGTCCTGTGATCAGCTGACCACGCCACCCTCCTGGGTGTTTTCCATTCTTCCTGAGGGTGAAGCCCCAAGTCCCTTTAGAAAGGATAGGGACCGTGGATTCCTTCCGATCTGTCTGAACCACAGAACATAGGCACAACCTCTCTCGGGGAAACAGGGAAGAGTCCAATACTGTATCTTTTTTGGAATAGAAGTGACCGGCAGTGTGGCATCTCTTTGCCTTCCTTCGCGGTCCCTTTCTCTCTGTCCTTCCTCATCCTCTCATGGTACACTACTTGGCTACTTCCAGTTTACCTCTTGGAAGAAAATCCCGTGCTGAGTTTGAATTATTCTTCCTCTAGCATAAATCCTCACCTGGCCCGCAGGGGGCGGACAAGCGTTTGAGGTAGGGTCTGGAAGGAGATTCAGGGACTCGAGGTTAGCCCCCCTGCTGCTGTACCCCTCCTTGAACGTGAACTCTGCTGTCCCCGGTAATAATGTTTGGGCCCTGTAATAGCCTTCAAGAGCCCCACACTTACAGCCACGCTCCCTGCCGTAATAACTCCTGCTCTCTGTTGTTATAGAGCTCTTAACATTCTAATAAATCCCCTGTCTCTCTTGCACAGTTTTGGTAAAATAACCTTTCGTGTTGGATTTCCCTTGCTCGGTGCTGATCTCTGTCTGACTATGGCCAAAGCCTCCTCCAAGCGTCCCTGGTAACCTTTCTTAGACAAGTGTAGTTCCTCGAGGATGTAACTGCTGTTTGGTGCTTTTTATTTTCCATACCAGAGAAGATGCCTTCCCTTAGCTGGGGTGTCTCTCTAGAGATACAGAGAGCTTTGCTGTCTTGCAGGCAAGCAGCCCAAAGGGACCTTCCTCATTAAGGGCTACAGTGTCCGGATGGCCCCCCACCTGCGAAAAGACTCCAAGAAAGAATCCTGCTTTGAACTGACCTCCCAGGATAGACGCAGCTATGAGGTAGGATGGCCTGGTGATCCTTATTAGACTTGCGTTTTCTGTGCTGTTGCATGTGAGCCGCAGTCGCTGGTCCCTGTGTTGGATTCCACCCTCTGTGCTACCTGCTCCTTTCTCCCCAGCTAAGAGCTGCTCTCCGGCTCCATCCTTTGCCGTGGCGTGCCCCTCCCCAACCATCTGTGGCTACGCTCACCCTGGATACCACCAGGCTTTTATCTCTTTACTCCTCCCCTGCCTTCCCAGTATCATCCCACAGGGGAGACTCTTATCTACTGCAACCCACCGTCCAATTCCTTACTCGCAGGCCGACTTCGCCACTGCTGTTCCTATTCTCTCTGTTTGTCCAACTGGTCAACCTTGTGTCCATCCAGGAAACTGAAAATAAGCAACATCTAACTACAGAGTGAAAACTAATTTCTCCCATGTTTGCCTTTCTGTCCAGAACCCGCCCCCTGGGAGTGGATATGCTGTGTCTCTGGAAGGATTTCCAAGCCCTTGATGGCAATGGTTTCTGAGGAGATATAGTGAAGTCTAGGGGCCTACAAAGCCTTGTCGATGAGAGACTTACGCCTCATTATGGCAATTTTTATGTATTTTTGAATATTCCCTACTCCCTTTTTAAAACAATTAAAACTATTTCCGAGTGAATATATCGATATTCATCAAGTATGTATTTTACATGTATGTGTCTAGTGTCTGTTCATTTGTAGGTAATCTTTATTTTATCACATCTTTGATAAAGCTGTGTAACTAAACTTTAGCTACCTTAGGAAAAAGAAGAAACATACAAAAGTTAAATTAACAATTTAAAGAACCTTTTGACTTTTCAAATTTTCCTCCTCACTCAACTTTTTGCCCTTGATAGTGTCTCGATCAGTTATTCGATAAAATGATCTATGTCTTCACTACATAATGTCCAGATGTTTTAAAGTTTAACTAAAACTTCTCTATAGGGTCCTATATAAACATTATGTAACAGATATATGCACTCAGCATGTTTCTAGATTATTTTTATATTAAATTATAATACTACTTCATCCAGATCAAAGTTTATGTGAGAAACTTAAACCAATATTCCTAGAAACACATCCTAAAACTATGTGTTTTTCAGAAACTATGATATGCTGGAGAGATGATTCAGATGACTCATGATTGTAACACAACCATGAAAACCCGAGTTTAAATCCAGAACCCATGTAACAAGCCAGATATGGTCTCATGCACTCTTTTAAGGCCAGCACCATGGTGAATAGAGACCCAAGGGTAGCTGGTGCTTGCAGAGTGCCAGCCTGGCCAAAAAACATGAGCTTAAGGCTCAAGGAGAGACTCTGCCTCAAAGGAATAAATGTTGAAAGTGATAGAGGAAAACATCAGTGCCCTCTGGCCTCTGCATGTCTACAAAGAGTATGTGTACTTGCTTGTACACACACACACACACAGAATGATAATGATAAAGCATGAACCTGTATTTCTTATGCAGCATGTATTTTTATCCAACCCTAATGGCCATAGAATTAAAATATCCTTTCATTTCAAGTTTTTTCATTTTAAAATTACAAAGGGTTGGTGCTTGGCTGCTCTGTTTTGTGAATCAGAATGTGCCTGTCTTTGGCCCATTGAATCTAAACCATCACTCTGAGCCATGGATTCTTCCTTTGGTCCTTTCTTCCTCTATTTATTCCCACAGCCACCACAGTTGCTAAGTCCCTATCACTTCACCCAGAGGGCTACTTACACAGCTTTCTAATTGGTCTTCAGTCTCTAAACATCCCTATTCCAATCCTCCCTAACCACGGCTACTGGAAGAATTACCCACACTCTTTGCTTGAACTGACGGCGGCTTCCTGTTGCCTACATCTTAAGTCTGGGTAGAGCCTCCTGCCTGACCCACTGCTCTCCACCTGGACCTGTTCCCCAGTCCACCTGCCCTGCTTGGAGCCCCGCACACATCTGATGCTGTGGCTGCCCCCGTGGTTCCCAGGGCTGAAGTGTTCAGTTCCTCCCATGGCTTTCCACCAACTCTAAAAACCCAGCCAAAACAGCATTCCTTCAGAGCCCCACCCCAAGCCTGCTCTAAACAACAATAAGGGCTCCCTGCCTCTCCTCAACATCCTGCTGTGGAGTGAGCATCTAGTACAGCGGTAGAGCGCTTAACTTAGCGTGTCCAAGGCCCTAACACTGAAAACCCCATCCCCTTGCTGTCAAAGGCCCCTCCCTTGTAGTATTCCCATCTCATGTCCATGTTGATTTGTTGTTGTTGTTTTTCCTACAAACCTTTTCCCATAAACCTCTGATGAAGAAGGAATCCAATGAGCAGGGACACATGAACATACATGTCCAGACTTAAAGCTATCCTCTCTGGTGTGTAAAACTACTGCAGGCACAAAGAAGCTGCGTGACATGTTTTGGGATTTGTTTTTTTTTCTGAGTGGTAAGGAGATGGAGAACCCCTAAACTCCATGCTTGGCTCTGAAACTCGGATTCCTTTGAGTCTGTCTAGCAGGAGTCCTGGCAGTTTGAGTGAAGGTGGCGACTAAATTAATGCCCTCATTTTCCTCCAGTTTACAGCTCTGAGTCCAGCTGACGCCAGAGACTGGGTGGACCAAATAAGTTTCTTGTTAAAAGGTAAGAGCCATCATTTCAAATGCATTTGCTATGTGAGTGCATTTGCAGTTGAAGTTATGTTTTAGAAGTTTAATCCAAAGGTTTCCGCATGTGTTTTCTCCTGACCCACTATTCTCCCCTACCCCACATTGCCTTATTTAATCCTATTTATTTAATTAGCCCTGATTTATAACAACAAATAGTATCATATATGAATGAGAAGGTGAGGCAATCATCCACCTGGAGATCACCTCTGATGTCAGAGCTTTTCCACTGACACCATGTAGACAAAACCTATCATACTAATCATCGTTTGGAAAAGAGTCTAAAAGCCAGCTTAGCTCAAGTCACTGTCCCTTCTATTCTGGAAGGGTAATTCATAAGAGCCATCATCTAGTCGAGATCCAAAACCTTCCTCTTCCTCCTCCTCCTCTTTTTATTTTTATTTTTGTTTTTGTTTTTGTTTTGTTTAGAAGAGGAATTCTAGACTCATCTCGGTGGCCATCAGGGATGCTGGACATTAAAAATAAATTGTTATTTCCCAAGCCACAACAAAATATTCCTTGCCTTGGGATGGCCAGTCCTGCCTGCAGAGTTAGATGGCTATTCTTAGAGTACCCTCTACCGGCCAGCCTGCAGGCCTGGTACAGCAGCCGAAATGGCCCAGGAAGCCTTGCCTGGGAGTGGCCTAGCAGGTGGATTTGGCCTAAGAGGACCCTCATAGACCACCCTAGCAAGACCCCGGCCTCAGCAGAACGTAAGAACACCAACTTTGAGCATGGCCCACGACACAGAGAGGAGCACATCCACCTAAAATCACCAAGCTTTCTCATCACGGTTTATTATTCTGCCATAAGATTTTATTGTGGATAAAAAGAAGGAAGCACTGGAGCCTTAATTACAAGAAATGCCTCTTTTACTCACTTCTACCTCTGCTATTACAAAAACAAACTACAGCGTGCACCGACAGCATCTCGTATAATAGACTGGAACTAGGCAAACATGAGCGTTGATGGTGAGGCTACAGGGCACACTCTCATCTAGGTGCCTAGGATTTATGCGTGTAATATACCCCTAAGTGTGTAAACCTCCATAAAACTCAGAGCAGCTTTATTGAGCTGTACCCTGTGGTACTTTCAGAATCTCACATTGAAGAAATTATTCATTCCATTTTATTTTAAAACAAACAAAATAATAACATATGGCTGAAGCCGCAAATGTGCCTTTGATCCTTTCCTCATATGAAGTCGCCAGAATTCAGATGAAATGTGTTGGGAAATCTTTATTAAAAGCCTAATCAAGCCAAACAGTTTTATTGTGTTTTGAAATGAACGGTTCGAGTCTCTCCACTCTCCCCTTCCCCAGAGTACACTCAGTGTGCTCACCAGGTCCTGAGCAGAGGCCCCTCGGTGGGGGTTTCCAGGAGCACCCCGAAGGCAAGAGAATGCGCTTCCCACCCCCCTCACCACCACCACCAGAACTGAACCCAATCTTGCTCCCTGCCCCGTGCTCACCAGCGCCCGTAATGGCTGAACATCCTGTACTCAGTGACCCCCTTGAAGGTCAGCCAGGCCATAAAAGGACATGGCGACCGCGCTGTTTAGCCATTCCACTTGGTCGCGTGACGGTTGTGTTTTTCCATGTCCCCATTTCTTTTCTTCTGCTACTTTTCCCCATTTTTCTTCCCTCTCCCCGAACAAATTTGTCTGAATGCTACGATGAGACCATGGGAGATGAGCTTCTGAGTGCTCAGACGCCACCATAGGTGCCTTGGCTCTGTTACCTAAGAGAGCTCGGGGCCATCACTCACCCCTCCGGGTTTCTGCTTGATGAACAGAGCAGAGCTCGCTGGCAGTGCCTCATCGGCCCGTTTTCTTTCCGTCCTCTTGTGTTTTCATTCACACACCCATACTTTTCAGGGCTGCTTCATTCGGACCGAGTGTTATTGCCAGAGAGGATTTATGTGGACGGCTTAAACCTGACCCAGCGCCGCGCTGGCCTTTTCTGTAGATCCTGCCACCGAGGCCTGCGTCAGAAGGAAGAGCACTTAACCGAGTGTCTCACTTTCTTCTGACATGTTTTGTTCTCCTCCTCCCTCCTCCTCCTCCTTCTTTCCCAGCCGTATTCTTTTCCCCCTACCTTTGCTCATTCTTATCTTTGCCCTGGCAGATCTGAGCTCCTCAACCATCCCCTGTGAAGAGGAAGAGGAAGAGGAGAAAGAAGAGGAAGAAATGTATGATGACATTGACGGTTTTGACTCCGTCAAGGCTGGTTCCCAGGGCAGAGCCGTGACCTTGCCTGAGCCCACAGAGGAAGAAGAGGACATTTATGAAGTCCTACCAGGTGAAATACTTCATCTTCTAATTACCCTCCTCCCCTACTTTCAAAAAGTCTTGACCTGGTAGGAGGATGAAACCATCCCCCAAAAGAATCCAGATCTAACCTTCATTCAATGAAGGGGACAGTGTACGAAGTTCATGACTCCCAGTACAGTGGCTGCGCCTTGCTCTGGGAGCAAGATGAGGTCCACCACGGTGTCTTTCGTCTGCGCTCATGATTTGTTCCTGTGGCCACTAAGATTAAAGGCCAGAGAACACTCCCTCTGGTTTTCATTGGTTTACCGTGAGTTTGGGGGTGAGTTCTCACAACTCTCTAGTTCTCGCTTATTTTCTGTAGAGTCAAGAAAATGACACAAAAGTTGTCTTGGGTACGGAGGCCTTCAGAAGTCTGAATTATACCAATGCCAACAGACCATTTTAGTGATGCAGTAAAACTCTGATAGAACACAACTCATTACTGTCCAAAACCAAATTATCCTCTAGGAGTAAAGCCCCTGCTTCCCTTCCGCCCGCTGCCAGGGCAGGTCAGCCCGGTGGAGCCCTCCTCTTCAGAAGGCAAGCTCACTAGCATCTCAGAAAACACACAGTCATCACTGCTCAGGGAGCCACTTCTGGTGGGGACCCAGCAGCTGGTAAACAGTACAGAGCACAGTGGGGGTCAGACTGGAAAACCCAAGGCTGAGCCTTTTAATTGTGAGTATTTAGACAATGGGAGAGCAGAATCTCCAAGTCCATTCAGAAAGCGCTCCTGTGGAAATTTGCCAGGAGTTTAGTGCTCTGCTAAGAAATTCAAATTAAGCCAAAATTTATAGCAATTTAAACCTGCCTCCCAGATGAACCTGGGAAGTAAGGTGAATCTAACACTCAGGCCCCTGAAGACAGGGCCCTGTTGCTAAAAGCATCATCAGTAAATAATTACATTTCAAGGCTCCCTCAGAAGAGGGTCCAACCCTCGTAAGTAGGCGTTCCCTATCTGTCTCTTGCCTGAAAGAGAAGCCACGTCATTGCGCCGCGCCCCCCCCCCCCCAGTCAAAGAGGCAAGGCTGTGTCCACACAACCCCACCAAGGAGAGTCCATCCCTTCCCCTCGGTCCTCCAGCCTCTGCCAGTCTCTGCTTCCCCAGCCTTTTTTGTTGTGTTTTATTATGCAAATGATATCTTGGTTGAGGTCGAGCCATTTCTTGTGTCTGAAGTTAAAAAAAAAAAAATGATAATTCCCTCAGCAAGTCATCGTCGTTAATGAAGTTTTACAAAAACAGATACAACCAAAGGAAAATAAAATTTCACAGGTGATAAATTTTTCCAATTTCCCTGGCAGAATTCGATAGGATTGTTAAATTAAGAGTGAAGGTGTCTGTTAGAAAGCAACGAGCAGTGATGGGTAATTTTATAGAGTGGAAAATTGAATCAAATTGCTACATTAAAACACAGCTCCTCTGAGAATCTTGCCTCTCACAGCCTGTGCCATCGCAACAGCAGGGTGCGGAGACGGATCTGATTCACCGCGCTCCCCAACTTGGCCAGAAACTTCCCAGGGAGCTTACAGGCAGCTCGCTGCTGCCCAGGTTCTGGGAAAGATCCAGCCTCCGCTGTGGGAGAGGGCTGGGGGAACATCGCCCTGAACCACTCCGCCTTCTGGGGTGCAAAGGAAAGGTGTGTGGTGCTCAGAGAAGCCAGAGAGGAGGAAACAGATGCTCAGGGATGCAGTACAAAGGGAAGGGGCCTCAGACAACAGGATAGGTTTGAGGCCATCCCTTATTCTGGGTCAGGGACGAGCAATGTTCCACTGGCTTCTCAGCGGTACAAGTTTATCCTTCCTCCTAAACTCCTACCCTCTGCTGAGGTGTGGAGAACACCTCCAAACTTCCCACCATTTATATAAGCAGTGGACCCCAGGGCTCAAACGGCCACTAACCCTGTGCCCACAACTGTCTGCAGAAAGTGAAGAAGCCACACTCTAGAAAAGCCAGGATCTCCTGCTGCGGGTTAGAGAGACAGCAGCTACCTGGCCTGTGCTTCCAATAAACAAAAGCCACTATCCACCTCAGTCCTTACAGACAGCATGGGATGGGGGTGGGGGTACACAGGCGTTTAATTATCGTGTGATTATCCCAGCCACGTGTCGTGACTCCATCACCCAAGCGTTCTAGCACTCCACTACTGTTACTTCTGAAATTGCTGTTCCGAGTTTTGCATATGTCACACCACAGTCCTAAAGAGACTGAGACAGAACGTGAGGGGCCTAGCATCATCCCCACCCCACCCCACCTCCAGCCCACTCCCCTTCCTGCCAGCTGCCACCTACTGAAGAGCAGCAGGTGGGGGACAGCTCGAAGCAACAGGCACAAAGCTGGCTGTAAGTCAGAGTGGATCTGCACCGGCGGCGCCTGCTAGCTGGGAGACCTTGAGCAAGCTCCTTGCCTTCTCTGTCCATTGTAAAATGGGGAAAAGCAATGCAGGCATCCAAGAGGGATTTGCGGTGCGGGGGGG